TATGTTTTCTGTGGAGCACCTGAAGCTTTTCATACATTGTTGAAAAATTCAGGAGGAAATAGAACGGATGGATTGGTTCCAAGTAGGGACAGTCTCACCAAACGGGACAGTTGGGAGCTATGAGTCTTGAGAGACCCTGTGATCAAATCTACTTGGCATGCTGTAATGGACTTTGACTGATCTTGTGATCGCCACCATTATTAGTATAAAATTTTTAAAAAAATCCCAGTATCTTTCCCGCCATTTGTAAACGCTATAACTTTCATGTAAACCAATTAATTTACACGTTTTAGGATTTTTTTTTTTTTAGCAAAGACGTTGCAGAATGCATTTTGGACAAAATTTGTGACAGAATTTGATTTTTTTTTTTTTTTTTTTTTTACTGGACATGTTTTATAGCAAAAAGTCCAAAATATTATTTTTTTTTTCTCAAAATTGTCAGCCTTTTTTTTTATAGCGCAAAAAATTAAAAACGCACAGGCAATCAAATACCACCGAAAGAAAGCTCAATTTGTGGGAAAAAAAGGATGTAAATTTAATTTGGGTGCGGTGTTGCATGACCTCCGCGCAATTGTCAGTTAAAGTAACGCAGCGCTGTAACACAAACCTCTTCTGTAACCGCTTCCTGACTGCCCTATAGCAGAAATACAACTACAGGGCGGCATGGGTACGCAAAATCACACATATATATATATATATATATACATACACGTGAGTCGTGCTCCTGTGGTTTTCACACCCCTCCTAGATAGCGTCAGATTGCTGGTCAGTACACCAGTCATCACATTTAACCCCTCGATTGCCAGGAACACGCTCATGTACAATAATCCTCCATTGCTAGTATAGCGTCTGAACTGGTCAATATCTTTGATCAGGTCAGCACTATACCAGCGTTCACATTAGTATAGCGTCCCCAAAAACACAGCGTTAGCAGGATCAGCCCGGGCACCTGCCAGCACTTGCGTTTAGCCCCTACGCTTACCCCCCCTTCTCCCCCAGCAAGTGCAGTGTCAGTAGGACACTGTCACTTGATACATTGCACACAAAACCGCAGTGTTCGCAGAATCAGGCCTGATCTTTGTTAGCACTTGCCGGTAAATTTTGATGACATTCATATGCAGCAGAGTGCCAGTACTAGTGCCCGCTCTACCTTTTGGTGAACTGGCGAGTACCAGCGGTCTAGTACATCCTGGTCTTTCACATACCTCCTTGATTTTTGGAGCTGTTTTTCACGGAATATCTGTATGCGTTGATTGTGGATCAAAGCAATTTATATGCACAACAATTTATCGCCGCCAACCCAAATTCAAACCTTGCCAGACCATTCGCGTTGGAAACTCATTACAGTTTTCAAATTTGCATTTTTTTTGGGCCTAACCCTCAACATGGGCATTACTAAAAGAAATGAATTGCGGTTGTATTGGTCCGCAGACCCGATTCATCATATGCCGTGTTCTCTGCTGCCATGGCCAGGCATAGATATGAGAGTATAATGTTGTTTTATGCATTTCAGGGACAATACACTCTGTCATCCTCGGGGTAACCCTGAATTTGACCGGCTCCACAAAATTCAGCCCCTCGCAAATCACCTTAACTAAAATTTGCAGATGTCTATACTCCCCAGCAAAACATCTACGTTGGGTGAGTCCATTAATTTTTCTGGCCGCCTTGCATTCAAACAATTTCTCCCCTGCAAGCGTGCCAGATATGGGGTCAAGATGTAGAAGACCTGTGAGAGGACAACAGGCTGTATACTTATAAGTTTCGGATTTACGAGGGAAAAGATAGTCACATGGAGCCCGCCCGGATGCCCAGACTATATGCGGAGCAGTGGCAAGATAGTTTGGGACTTGGTGTCATCATTTCTCCATATGGGGTACCACTTATACATGGACAATTTTTTTTTCAAGTGTACCACTATTTAGACATTTATTCAATCTTGGAACTGGCACTTGTGGCAAAGTGTGACCCTAATGTGTGCCCACCATTAGAAGTGGGGTGGATGCAGGGTGGTATATTCTAATGGTGGGCATACCACACACTTTTTCTGGCAGAGATTTCTTCTCATTTTTTTCATTCATTCCACAGGCTGCATACAAAAAAAAAAGAACATAGCATATTAACCAACAAGGACCAGCGATGTACTGGTACATCACTGGATTTGAATGGTTATACCAGGATGATTCCTACAGCTGCAGGCATCATCCTGATATCGTTTTTTTCAGCCGGTGATCGGCTTTCATGTAAAAGCAATCCTAGTGGCTAATTAGCTGCAAGATTGCTTTTACAAGCATTGGGAGATGATGTCCCCCCCCCCCTCCCCCGCTGCCTTCCACGGCCTTCTCGGGCAGTCCTGTGCCATCAGGGGAACCTGAGCATGCAGCCGGTGTTTCTGCCAGCTGACCATAGAGCTGATTGGAGACCAGAGTGGTGCCAATCATCTCTATATTCTAAGGATTTGGAAGCTACAAGCATTTCATCACTTCAGTTTCGCAGGATATAAAACAGCGCCATTTGTAAATTGGGAAAGCATCTGATCACACTGATTTTGGTTTGATTAGATAATGTAAGGGCAGAGGAGATGTCTAGAGTCTGATAGACCCCAGATTTCTCAAAAAAGAAATATGACAATGCCCATTGAAGTTATAGGGGTTATTTGCATTCCCTGTTATAGCATTAAAAGTGATAAAAAAAAAAATGAAAGGTACAATGTAAAAATAATATTAAAAAAAAAAAATAAAAATTGCCCCTCCATGCGCGCACACCTGTGTGCACAAAGCCTTGACCCTGTGCCGTTATGTAATCACAGCGGTTGCACCATGCATGTGAGGTATTGCCGTGAACGTCAGATCAAGGGCAGTAATTCTAACACTAGACCTCCTCTGTAATCTAAAATGGTAGCTTTTAAAGGCTTTTAAAGCTCTACCTATTGGATATTAAAAAGTTTGTAGTTTGTCGCCATTGCACGGGGCTATGCGCAGTTTAAAAGCATGTCATGCTTGGTTATCCTATATACTCGGCATACTATTATCTTTTATATTTTACCAAACAATTGGCCAAATATATTGTGTTTTTGTGCATTAAAAGTAAAAAAAGTGTTGTTTTTTTTTTAATTTGCTTTTGAAAAATCGCTGCGCAAGTACTATTTGCCATATAAAATTATAGTACCCACCATTTTATTCACTAGGGTGTCTGCTTTAAAAAAATATATAATGTTTGGGGGTTTAAATTAATTTCCTAGCAAAAAATACTGATTTTTTTCATGTGAACAAAAAGGCTTGGTCTTCAGGTGGTTAGAAGAGTGAGTGATGTGTGGCATAAACTTCTAATGCTGGGCATAAAACGCCCCCACCCCCCAAAATGACCCCTTTTTGGAAAGTAGTCACCCCAAACTATTTGCTGAGAGGAATGTTGATTCAATAGAAGAATTTATTTTTTTACCACAAGTTTTTGGAAAATGCAACCAAAAATAAATATTTTTTTTTTACACAAAATTTGTCACTTAAATGATTTACTGCTCACACATGCCATGGGGTATATGTGGAATTACTCCCCTAAAAAAATACATTTTGCTACTCCCGAGTATGGTGGGGGGTACCACATGTGGAGAGACTTTTTGGCAGTCTAGCCAAGTACAGGACCTCATAATCCAATAAGCACCTTCAGCTTAATGCCAAGGAGCGGACGTACAACGTTGGGCAGCAGCAGGTGTATGTTCTGCTCCCCTTGCGGCAGAACAAATTGCAGGCTGCCTGGGGAAGGTCCGTACCCCATCACCCAGCGCCTGAACAATGTAACCTATCTGGTTAGGTTGGGCGAAGAAAGCAGACGGGCAGAAGGCCTTCCATGTTAATATGATCAAGGCCCACCACGAACGTACGGCTTACGTCATGCCAGTCTGCAGCCAACAGAGACCGAGGAGGCTGATCCCTGCTAGACCTACTCGCGGACACTAGGGAAGGGGAGTCAAGCGCCGCCCGATCAACCCCTCCTTACCCCCACCCAGGTACCTGGGCTGGAGAGAGTGCTGGCAGGATATGGGGGTAGGTTTACTGGGAAGCCTGGGAGAACCCACCTCGCTACCCACAAAGTAAAACACAGGGGCCTATCCTCCTATTAGACAATCCGCCTGTCTCGTTAGAGGTGCTGGCAATGATATGAAAAGGGAGGTGGAGGAAATGCTGCAGTTGGGGGTGATTCAGAATGTCCCACAGCGCCTGGGCGTCCCCTGTAGTCCTGGTCCCCAAAAAAGACCGGGACTACCAAGGGTTGTGTGGACTATCGGAAGCTGAACGCCATCACCGCTGCAGACGCCTACCCCATGCCCCAGATCGATGAATTGTTGGATAGGCTGGCGGCGGCCCGCTATCTCACAATCATGGATCTGAGCAGGGAGGTACTGGCAAATTCCTCTAGCGCCCGAGCGCCCGGGGAAAAGTCGGCCCACCCGTCATCACCCCATTCGGCTTGTTCGAAATTCACGGTCATGCCCTTTGGGATGAAGAATGCCCCCAGCTACCTTCCAGAGGGTCATGAATGACCTGTTGGAGGGGCTGGAACAGTGCGCAGTAGCCTACCGTGGACGACATCGCCATGTTCAGTCCCACCCTGGGAAAGAACATCTGGTGCATCTGTCACAAGTTCTGGGACAGGCTGACCGCCGCCAATCTGACAGTCAAACCAGCACGTGTCAGATAGGCATTGACAGATGTCCAGTATTTGGGGATACCAGGTAGGAGGAGGCACCTGAGGCCTGAAACAGGGAAAGGTGGAGGCCATCCTGGCCTGGCCTACCCCACAAAACCAAGAAGCAGGTCATGACATTCCTGGGGACAGCTGGCTACTATCGGAAGTTTTAGAGATAAAGAGATGAGAGAAGTATTCAAAAATTCGATTCGACTGATTCGGCGAATTCGTGAACAATATTCGATTCGAGTCGAATATATTCGCTGTGAATTTAACTTAAAAAAGGGTGTTTCTAGGCTTCAGAGAGACCTTAAATATTAGTGCAGAACACTGTACCTTTAATTTAAATGCCCTTGGAGTCTGCTGGGGAAGAGAAATAATACTGTCAGTCAGTTAATGACATGCAGATGAGTGCCGTCGATCTTAGATCACCGCACACTTCACTCATTTGGCCAGTCACTGGGGCCAAAACCAGTGTTTGGAGCCACAGAGTGTGGCGGTGGACGGCAGCAGCAATGGGAGGCCATACAGCAACCTATGACAAAAATGGAAACCAGCAGGAGTGTGAGGAGACCTCAAAGTGGCACATGGCAGAGTGGGAGCAATGGGAGGACTCGGTACAGGCGGTACAGGGACCCATGTCACACTGTGGACCACAGCAGCAGCGTGACGAGGCGGTACGGGGGCCCATGGCAGATTTGGGGGCCTGGCAGCACCTATGGGAGGCCTGTAATCTGCCAGCAAACCTATGACAAAATGGAAACCAGCAGGAGTGTGTGAGGAGACCTGAAAGTGGCACATGGCAGAGTGGGAGCAATGGGAGGCGGTACAGGGGACCCATGTCACACTGTGGACCCAGCAGCAGCGTGACCCCAGGTCGGTACGGTGCTGGGCCCATGGCAGTATTACAGGCCTGGCGTAGCAGCAATGGGATAGGCCCGTAATCTGCCAGCACCCTATGACAAAAAATGGAACACACCAGCAGTGTGTGAGGAGACCTGAAAGTGGCACATGGCAGAGTGTGGCGATGGAGACAGCAGCAAATGGGGAGGCCGTACAGGGACCCATGAGACTGTTGTGGACCTGGCAGCAGCATGAAGGAGGTGGGTAAAGGGGCCCATGGGCAGATTTTAGGGGCCTGGCAGCAGCTATAGGAGGCCCGTAATCTGCCAGCACCCTATGACCAAAAAATTGAACACCACCAGCAGTGTGGTGAGGAGAACCTGAATAGTGTGGCACATGGCAGAGTGTGGCGATGGAGACAGCAGCAATGGGAGGCCGTACAGGGACCCATGAGAGACTCTGGAATTGGCAGCAGCATGAGGAGGCGGTTATAGGGGCCCATGGCAGATTATGGGCCTGGCCAGCAGCTATGGGAGGCCCGTAATCTCTGCCAGCACCCTTATGACAAAAAATTGGAACCCCACCAGCAAGTGTGAGGAGACCTGAAAGTGGCACATGGCAGGGGCATGAATTCATGGCGGATTTAATCAGTTGTGTCAGGAACTGGTGGTTTGAAATCCAGACTAATCCACGCCTGATTCATTTTCACAAACGTGAGTCTCTCCACACTTTGGGTGGGACAGTCGTGTCCTGCACGCGGAGTTTACAATACCTCCTGCCGCACGTTAAACACGCGCTCCGATGCCACGCTACTGGACGGGCCATGACAGCCTTTCAAGGGCAAATTCAGCTAGTTGGGGCCAAAGGTCAAGTTTTCGTTGCCCAGTAGTCAAGGGGATTGGTCTACATCGGTTGGCAGGGTGCTGTCCAAAGTAGGCCCAAGCCTGTTGTTTGAGCTCCTGCTCCAGGTCCACCTGATGCTGCTGCTGCTGCGGCTGGTTAGTAGTTTCCTCACTGCGCTGGTGAAGAAAGCTACTCATCATCGACTGCTGACTGAAGGCAGCCGCTGCTGGTGAGCTGCCACTGCTCTACCACCCCCACCCCCCTCCCTGCTGCCATTGGCAGCGGAACGCGAAGCGCAACAGGGCCCCACAGTGTCTGAAAGGATGGACGTTGGCGCACAAAGGCAGAGGACCAACTGACTACATACGTGGTTTTTATAGTACGTTATTTTGGCCTCCCTCTCAGGAGGTGTGAAAAGGCCACCATTTTTTGAAGGTAGCGACGGGGTTCCAACAAGGTGGACAGCCAAAAGTCATCCCTCTGTCTGATGGTTATTATTTGGCTGTCGCTACGCAAGTCAACCGAGCATGCTATGGGGCCATTGTGCCAAGGAATGCAAGGTACTCCTGCCTCCATCTCCACAGCATACTGCCACGGTGCGTTCTGGGTCCTTCGTCTCATCCTCCTCCTCTACCAGATGCTCTGCTCCTACACTCCTGTCCGCTGCACTGAGTGAATAAAACCACCCATTTCACTCAATAATTCCTGAGCACAAATGTCCTCTCTCTACCTCCTCCTCTTCTTCCTGTCTGCCCCACAGGGGTCATGTGGCGTTGAGATCTGTGCGCGCCACGTCTACCAGCACCCTGACATGCCATTGTTAACAGCATTTGTTCCAGGACCAGGACGTGCAACAGGAGGAATGACTGTCGTTCATCCCATAGTCCTGCCGACTCGACGAATAGCGTGGCCTCTCAAAGGGCACTGAGCAAGCGGCAGGTGTCACGCATGAGCTGCAATGGCTGACATCGAACGAGAGTTACACAGGGGGATGTACCTTTTATCCGCTTGTAACATCAGGAAATCGGGTGATGGCCTTTCGCTGTTCGTAAAGGCGGTCTAACATGTGTAGGGTTGAATTCCACCTATTTTGTTGCAACGTCGCAGATCAGGCGATGCTGAGCAATTCAAGGAGGTGGGTGTGCTTTGCGGTGTAGAATGGCTGAAATGCATGCGCAAAGTTTACGTGACATTTTAAGGATGTCTTGCAGTGGGATGGTGGATTTTAAGGAACCGCTTGACAACCAGATTGATCACGTGGAGCCATCGACATGGCGCATGGCACAACCTTCCTTGACGCAGAGCAGACCACCATGTTCTTTCCGTTGTCGGTGTCAACATGGTTCAGATTTTCAGTTTGCGTGGAGACAGCCATCTGTCGATTTCTCTGTTCATTACACTGAGAAAGTTCCTCCCCTGTGTGACTACGTTCGCCAAGGCATACCAGGTGCAGAAACAGCGTGACACCCACCGTTGCGCCCTGCACATGTGATATGCGGTCGGGTAATGGGACTTGGCACAGGGGTGGCGGCTGTGAGGACACGGCGGAAGAAGAGAGGTGGTAGAGGCCCGGACAATACTTTTGTGGACCAAGGACGTGGCAAACGTGGAGGCAAGGCAAATGCGGCGTGACCTGTCCAAGTTTGGCCTGGTGCGGCTGTGATGGCACCACTAACGTTCACCCAGTGGGCCGTTAAATGACATGTACTGTCCCTGACCGTAGTTACAGCTCCACACGTCGGCACTGCCGTGCACTTTGGCAGAGACCGAACATGCTCAAAGATGGCCCACCATGTCTTTTCTACAATGTGAATGCCCGGGCTGGCCACTGCTTTTTTTTTGGCGAAGAACTGACGGCTTGGCACTCTCCAACCGCGCGGGCGCGGGCACAAGCCAGCATTTTCTCCGGAAAGGTGCTTGTAGTTCCCACCACTTGGAAAGGGTGGGACTGCTGCCACCAGCAACGTGGACAGACGAGGACGATCAGCTTTATCACCGTCGGGTGCGTGGCTCAGCAAACTGTTGATCCTCATGGAAAAGGATTTACCAAGAAAAGGACTGCATGACGGAAATCCTGGGTGAAGAGGAGTAGCAGAGAGAAGGTGCATCCTGAAGGACGAGCGGAAAAGATAGTCCGAGCGGAAGATGGCCAACGAGCGGGACAACTCCCACTCAGCAGAGGTGTTGGAAGCCTTGGACTGGCTGATGAGTGGGCAGATTGACGTCGGGTGACCGGAGCAAGCTAACCGGAGGCTGGGTGATGGTGAGCGTGGGCTGGGGCGGCGGGCAGGAACCGACCGTTTCTCTTTATCAACTGTTTTCCCCAGGCCACCCAAATGGCGACAGCTGCATATCTGCCAGCAGACGCTTGTTAGTCCCAACATGGGCCCCCTGGCCTACTGCTTGAGCTTACCTGGCCAGATAGTCGAACATACGGCTACGTTTACTCTCCTCGAGGGCGGACTTCTTGACGAAACATTGCCACATCCACATCACCCGGCCGAGTACGAAACTTTGCTCCCGATACTCCTCACTGCTGACTGCTGCTTTCCTCCGTGCACACCGGCACCACTTACTGGCCGTGGTGGGTAGGCTGCAGTGGAGCTGGTGCTCTACTCCGTGGACGTTTTGGCTCCACTCGCACTGCTGCGACCCTGCTGCGTCTCCTGGGCAAACCCACGACTGTTTGCTCGCTGCCAAGCTGCCACCCTCTTCTCCTGATGATGCGGAATGAAATTGCCTGATGACGACGAGCATTGCCATGTTGCGATCAACCTCCTTCATCATTCAAGTAGGGTCTCCGCCTCACTACTAGCCCCTCTCGGCTGCGTCTGGGTCAGGAGACAGTACCTGTCTCTCTAGACCGGCTTAACCGAGCCACCTCTCCTCGCCAGTTTACTTCTTCGCCTGGCTGCTGAAAAGGCGGATGTCTCCCCCCGTTCCCTGACCGCCTCTGTTAGCTCTTCCTCACTGTACAGTGGGGCTGAGCCCACAGCATGCGATACTTCGCTTGGTGAGGGAACACCAAAGGACAGGGGCAGGTAGAGGACACGTGATTTCAGTGGGCTTGGTCCCGGGCCATGCCAACTAACGGTTGTGTCTGACGTAACCCACCGATCGTTGGCTGTAGGTGTCAGAGGTGACCTGGGAAGAGGAAAGATGACCGAGCCAACCAATCGATGACGGCAGGGTTGTCGGTGGAGACACGACCGCTGGATTGACACCGGGAGCACTGGCCTCTGGCTGCGAATAGTGCTGCCTCGAACGCCCCCCTTCCTCTGCTGCCACGTCTGCTCGCTCCTAAAACATTGCTCTCCTCTGCCACTCCTCTGCATGTTCGTCTGACATACTCTTTAATTCAACGATTCTGTGTCCCTGAGTAACAATTCTTGTGTCCCTGAGTAACAAATTCTGTGTCTGTCCCTGAGTAACTCAATTCTGTGGCCCTAAGTAACGGTTCTGTGGCCCTCAGTAACAATTCTGTGTCCCTGAGTAACGTTTCTGTGGCCCTAAGTAACATTCTGTGGCCCCTAGTAACCATTCTGGTGTCCTGTCCCTGAGTAACAATTCTGTCTGCCCTAAGTAACGGTTTCTGTGGCCCTCAGTAACAATTCTGTGTCCCTGAGTAACGTTTCTTGTGGCCCTAAGTAACGGTTTCTGTGGCCCTCAGTAACAATTCTGTGTCCCTGGAGTAACAATTCTGTGTCTGTCCCCTGAGTAACAATTCTGGTGGCCCTAAGAGTAACGGTTCTGTGGCCCTCAGTAACAATTCTGTGTCCCTGAGTAACGTTTCTGTGGCCCTAAGTAACAATTCTGTGGCCCTCAGTAACAATTCTGTGTCTGTCCCTGAGTAGCAATTCTTGGCCCTAAGTAACGGTTCTGTGGCCCTCAGTAAACAATTCTGTGTCCCTGAGTAACGTTTCTGTGGCCCTAAGTAAAATTCTGTGGCCCTCAGTAACAATTCTGTGTCTGTCCCTGAGTAACAATTCTGTGGCCCTAAGTAACGGTTCTGTGGCCCTCAGTAAACAATTCTTGTGTCCCTGAGTAACGTTTTTCTGTGGCCCTAAGTAACAATTCTGTGGCCCTCAGTAACAATTCTGTGTCTGTCCCTGAGTAACAATTCTGTGGCCCTAAGTAACGGTTCTGTGGCCTCAGTAACAATTCTGTGTCCCTGAGTAACGTTTCTGTGGCCCTAAGTAACAATTCTGTGGCCCTCAGTTAACAATTTCTGTGTCTGTCCCTGAGTAAACAATTCTGTGGCCCTAAGTAACGGTTCTGTGGCCCTCAGTAAACAATTCTGTGTCCCCTCAGTAACAATTCTGTGGCCCTAAGTAACGGTTCTGTGGCCCTCAGTAACAATTCTGTGTCCCTGAGTAACAATTCTGTGTCTGTCCCTGAGTAACAAATTCTGTGGCCCTAAGTAACGTTACGGTACAGTTCTGTGGCCCTCAGTAACAAGTTTCTGTGTCCCTGAGTAACAAATTTGTGGCCCTAGTAAACAGTTTCTGTGGCCCTCAGTAACAATTCTGTGTCCCTCAGTAACAATTGTGTCTGTCCCTGGAGTAAACAATTCTGTGGCCCTAACTAACGTTTCTGTGGCCCTAAGTAACAGTTCTGTGGCCCTCAGTACAATTCTGTGTCCCTGAGTAACGTTTCTGTGGCCCTAAGTAACAATTCTGTGGCCCTCAGTAACAATTCTGTGTCTGTCCCATGAGTAACAATTCTGTGGCCCTAAGTAACGGTTCTGTGGCCCTCAGTAACAATTCTGTGTCCC